CTGGATTATAGATGGCAGACAGTTGGTGTCGTAAACCATCTTTGAACAGAAGTGTTGGTTAAACAGAAGTTTAAAAGTTTAAAACTGCCTGAGCTCATCAGCTGAGTGGAAGACGACACGGACTCATAACTGGACGACGGCGGATCAAATTCTGGTCTCGGGAGCGACTCACGAGTTTAAACTGACAGAAGAACGCAACACACAAAAACAGAGCTACAAATAAAAACGTGGAACAAAACATATGGCTAAAAAAACCCAATAAAGGTTTTTAATAAAGAAAATAAAGATAATAATTAATTAATAAAGAAACAAACTGGATGAACATAAAAATCAACCAAAGCACGAGGTGCTAAATCCAGATACCAAAAAAACAAAAAGGATGGTGAACGAAACAAAGTCCTGAAGGTAAGTCTTCTAACTGTGCCACAGCCTGAGAAAGAAGACGTGGAAATCACTTCAGCTTGTCGCAGATCAAAGTGAAATTAATTTGATTGATCAGGTTTTCTTGGCGTGCTCTGAGTTTCCAGCAGATCAGACTATAAAAACATTCACACATCCACTAAATCACCAAATTATTCCATGCATGCTTCAGTCACGCTGCGATCCACAGTTTCCTCTTGGTTCTTCGCTCTGCACATCACCAGCTCCTGACCAGGTGATGTGTTCAGTGTCAGTTACCACGGCGATTCAGCCTCGTAAAAGGAGACTGTTGTGCCCCATGAAACCCCGACTGTCAGCTCAGCACAGCTCCTCTTATGCTAACATCTGCAATCACACGAAGCAGGTTATCAACTCGATAAACCAACCCACCGTTTATCAGCCCGGCTACCAGCACGCTCACACCACAGAAACAAACATGAGGAAGTGATGCACGCATCAAAGAGGAACCATCAGATTTCAAAATGCTATACTTTGGAAGTGATGGACACCGAAGGTTGTGGTGACGTTTAAAATTCATAACTCAATATGAAGTTGCTCAGGGCAACCACCACACGCAGTCAGAGGTCAGGAAAAGAAAAAAGGAGCATCTGGAAGAGAGCGTGCTGAAAGGTGAGTCTTTACAACAGTGTCAGACTCGTCACAGACTTTTGCGAGCACGCCTCGAGACACGCTGGAAGTCACGAACAAGCTCGTTTTTGTTGTTTTTTTACAGGACGTGTTGGGGGTGTGACCTCTTCATGGCCTTCGCTCAGTAAGACCAGAGAGGAGCTGGTTTACTAAGTCTGCTAACATCGAGCTGCGTCCATCGTTCACCTCGATGTGGTTTATTTGTGCAGGCGTGGAGCAAAACGACCACACTGACAGTCCAGAAGTGTAAACGCTGC